AGAGAGAGAGAGAGAGAGAGAGAGAGAGAGAGAGAGAGAGAGAGAGATTCTAGGCCAGGTAAAACTTCATGGAGAGGAAAAAAGTCTGCAAAAGGTCATTAGAGAGGCCATGATGAGAAGAGTCTGGGAAGGGAAACACTTCTATGTGGGAACTAAGTGATCTGTCCCCCCAAGCCCCAACCTCCTGCTGTCACTTGAATCTGCAATGTTCCCCACAGGCTTGTATTTCAAGCATTTGTTCCCAGGCTAGTGACACTATTTTAGGAGGCTGGGTCCATCTGGAGTTACTGGTCACTGGAGGTGGGCCCTGGCTCTGGTGCTGCTCTCTGCTTCCTTGTCATCTCTGATACGATTAGCCAATCCCACACTCCTCCACCACCATGATCTGAGATGCTCTGCCATGCCTTTCCCGCCACAAAGGAAGGAAAGCTTCTGAAATTGTGAACCAAAGCGACACCTTCATCCCAGGTTGTCAGGTAGTGTGGTCATGTGAGGAAAACAGCGAACACAGCCCCTCCCAAGAGCTTATTACAAGCAGCAAGCTTTCTGGGTGTTTTTGCCCACTTCAGTAGTTTCTGTTCCTTCATACTCCTTGGATATAAACTCTGTAAAACCCAGGGATATTATCTACCTATTATTCACTGTCTCTTCAGCATCTCCCCAGAACTAAGCACACAATAATTACTCAGTAGGTGTTTCGAGACTCTATTACTACTGTAAGCAAGGAATAGTGTCAAATACTAAGAAAACTAGTGGACCACCTCTCAGGTTTTAACCCTCATCGGCTACCAGATTTGCTAGGTTCCTTTGGGCACTGAGTTTAAACCTGTCTATTTTTTTTTCAATTTAAAAAAATTTTTAAAATTAATTTTACATATCAACCACAGATTTCCCCTCTCATCCCTCCTCCCATTCCCCCTCAGCCTTCCCTGCAACCCCAACCTACCCCCCCCCTCTGCATCAAGGCTGAGCAAGGCATCCCATCATGGGTAATGGGCTCTAGAAAGCCAGCTCACGCACCAGGACTAGATCCTGATCTTACTGCCAGGAGCCCCTCAAACAGACCAAGCTACACAACTGTCTCCCATATGCAGAGGGCCTAGTCTGGTCCCGTGCAGGTTTCACAGCTGTTGGTGTAAAGTTCCTGAGTTCCTATGAGCTTGTAAACCTAAGTCTTATATGTGCCACATGGATGAGAGTTTGTTCTGATTGTTCCTGCTTTTCTCTGGCATGCCACTATGAATACCATACAGATCTCCGATTCATTAAATTGAAAAGATTTTCAGTAAAATGATGACAAGAGGCAAACCATCTTGGCAATTACACAGGACAAAGAACACATTATTGTCTGATTTACTTTAGCAATAAATTGAATTACAATGAGCATCTGCAATAGAAAAAGATGGGAAGGAAGGAAGCTGGAATGTTAACCACATTATCCTTCTCTGGAATGTGGATGTGCAGTTTGTCTTTTATTTATGCTGAGTTGATTTAGGAATGTCCTGTACTGAATATTGATTTAGGTTATCACAATAAACAAGGACTTTGGGAGGCTGTTCTTTTTTTTTTTTTTTTTTTTTTTTTTTTTTTTTTTTTTTTTAAGGTTGTCCATGATACTTCAATATTAGAATGGCATACATGCATATAGTTCAAGTTCACAGTTAATCTGATGGCATGTTACCCCTCACCCAAATCTATCATACACACTTCTGACTTAGACAACTTAGTGTTTGCAACTTAGGTTGTAAAAGTTTCTGGGACCCTGCCCCCCAAGTTTAAAAGCACTTATCCCAGGGTTGAGGAGATGGTTCAGTAGGTTATATGCTTGCTCTGTAAGCATAAGGACCTGAGTTAGGACCTTCACCATCCATGATGGTGTCCATTTATAAGCCCAGAACTAGAGTTGAGATGGGAGGAAGGCGGAGCTGGGAAGTGCTGACTGGCAGTTTAGCCTAAATGCCAGTGGAGAGTGTATTAGCCTAAATACAAAGTGGAGAGTGATTGGAAAACAAGTGTTTTTGTTTAATCTTGATGTCTGGCCTTCACACACACATACATGGATGAGTGTACCACTCATGGGTGCACCTACTTACACACACTCTTCATGTACAAACATACATTTATCCAACAAGCACATCTTCTATAAGGTGTCTCATCCATGAAAACAATGCAAAACAAACCAAGAACACAGCCCATGCCGACTTAAGCATTTTCCCAGGCCTCATGGCTGAGGGAGATCTGAAATCACCCCAAATCCAGGCCACAAGCTTCCTTTATTCTCACAAGGAGCTGTCATGATTGACTTCCTATATGCTTCACCCTTGTCTTGTCCTGAAGGATTTCTAGACTCTTTGAAAACTACCTTCCTCCTTGAGTACCATATGAAGCAATCCAGCCAGTTTCTACTTTAGCTTCCTTGAAGGTTATTTTGTTCACACTTCAAGAATGTTTTCCAACACCAGAACTTTTGGCAATCTGTCATCATCAACAACACCAGCAGCAACAAAACTCCTAAGTCAGTTCAACACCAAGCTAAACATCATTACCGTGTCCACCGTGACAGCCGACAATGTCTCAAAGGGGCACAAAGCATCCAGTGTCTGCATACAAATCATTTCCATCAAGGTGAGCTACCTTGATCTTGATCTCTCATGTATCCATACAGTGACAATATTCATGACATTTTAACAATGTTCATACCCTTATGTAATCAAGGTGAGTTGGCTATATCCATTCAAATTTGTTGTCTTACCTGGAAATAAAGCCTTCATGTATAAATGCTGGAGATGCATGGCTTGAAAGCCTCTTGGGACCTTGAAGTGGTCCTTATACCTAAAGCACCATGATCTAGATATGCCAAACCTGTGGGCCACATGTGGATACCTATGAACGCAGTCCAACAGAAAATAATGAGGTTACTTAAAATGTTATGAGATTTTTTTTTTCAATGATTTCTTTCTTGTTGCTCAACTGTGTATTTCTTGAGTGTGAACTTGGTAGGTGACAATGTGGCATTTTGATGTCAGAAGGTTGGGGTCACCTACTTTAGGACTTTTGTTTAGAACAAACCTGGAGAAAAATGGTTTTGTAAAAGATAGTCATGGCTGCCCGAAGTCCTCGAAACAAACCAAGAAGGTTGCTTGCTTACCTCCTCCAGGGCCCATAAGGAATCCACCACAGGCTTGATCTTCTTCTGGTTGTACAGCCCTAGGAGTTTCTCCACTACTCCCCGGATGAGGCCTGAGCGGCCCTGTTTGAAGAGCAGGTTGAGGAGTGAGAACCCTGCGATGACTTTGTTTTCTTCATACAGCTTGATGGGGTTCACTTTCTCCACCTGCCACCACTGCAATCAGAGAAGATTCTAGGTTATGAAGTCCAAAGAGGGGGTTACATTGTGCAGCACTGCCTATGTCTTGGGAATATTATCTATTCCAAGGTAGCCAAAATTGAAACTGGTTGGACTCCAGTGGACCAGCAAGCAGTCTTGGTGATACATCTTTTAAGCATCTATTTCTGGATCCACAGCCGTTGGTGCAGAGGATATCCTAGACAGCAATGCTGTGTGAGGGCTTTAGTTTGGAGAGAGAGAGAAGGCTGGGCATCCCTTTTTCTAAAATCCCCACTCTAAAATGCTTCAAAAGCCAAATCTTTTTGAGTGCTAACATGGTACCGTAAAGGGACACTAAAAATCCTGTCTATGCTGGGAATGTAGCTCAGTTGGGACAGTGCTTGCCTAGTACATATGAAATTCTGGGTTCAAATTCTACAACAACATAGAGTAAACAATTTGGAGATAGATGCTTGTAATCCCAGAACTTTGGAGGTAGAAGCAGAAGGTTTAGAAATCCCAGGTCATCTTCAGCTAAAAAGTGAGTTTCAGAACAGCATAGGCTACAGCAGAACCTGTCTTAAATACACACACAGACACAGACACAGCCAGACAGCCAGACAGCCAGACACACATTATAAAACTTATATCTTATAACTTACCTGTAAATATTCCAAAATATGGGAAAAAAGTCTCTCTTTCCCCACCAATGCAAATTCTGAAGCTCTTCTCACCCCATTGCCTTGGATAAGGTTTCTCAGTCTATTCGAGGCCACAGGTTGTTACAGTAGTTAAGTGTGTGATTAGGATCATTGACTTTGGAGTGGATCCTGGTTGTGTACCTCACTCCCCATTATTCTTTGCACTTCATCCTTCTCAGCTGACTCAAATGAAAGGATACACTGGCATCTTCCAGGAGGGTCCAGAGTAAAACATCTGGCTCTAAGAATGGTTGTGGGGATAATGAAAGAGTCCTAATCTAGGGATGTTCACAGAAGGACAAAGCATTGGGGGCATGGTGGAGGTGACCCCCATGAGTGCAAGATCACCTTTTTACTTTTTTTTTTTTTTTAAGAGGGTGAGTTGGGGAGGATAACGACAAGGCTACTGGAAAGGTAGGTAGAAAGGAAGGTCAAGTTAAGAAGAGAACACAGCTTGGAGTGATAAATCCAAGAGGTTGGGACTGCGTAAATGGCTCTCCTGTGGGTTCAGCCCTTGAAATGTGACAAGGATTTTAAGGTCAAACGTACTGCTCTTCTGGAGCTGCCCCATCCCCGGCTCTGCTAAGTGTGATTCCGTGGAAAGGTCCGTGAATGTGGCTGTGGGTGTCTCTCCGTTTGCAGACTGTGTGCCTGGCATGCATGACACTCCGGGGTTGCCCTCCAGCACCACAGAAAACTGGACACGGCAGCACCTGCGCGAGAGCTTCAGGTTTGTTTGCAAACCGTCTTCCCTGACTCTTGCTCTCCCAAGCATCCCCAAACAGAGGTCCAAACTCTTGGGCCCCATGATTGAGCTTGATGCCTGCACATCTGTAGGACCTCAGTGGATGTTTGTGTAATGCCAGCTGATGCTACAGGCACTGTACATCTGTGACCAAGAGCTCCAGGGATGGCTCCGTGGGTAAAGGGGCTGGCCCCAAGGCCTGGAAATCTGACTTTGATCTTGGGACCTACATGGTGAAGGCAGAGAACTGACTTCTGCAAGTTACACTCTGCTTCATGCATGCTATGCTAGGTGTACACACACACACACACACACACACACACACACACACACACACACACACTTAAACAAGTGTACTTTCAATCCTCTATGAAATTTCTAGAGGTGAGTGTCACTTGTTAGCTGTGTAACTAGGCAATTCACCTAACCTCTCTGCGTTCAGTCTCCTTATATAGCTTAGGGAGAGGGAGGTTGTCATAGGAAGTAAATGTGTTCATGTGAGATGCATGCCATTACAGCAGTGTGTGTGTACCACAGGCTCCATAAGCATAGACAAATTTAATTGTCCTTTTAATCTGAAAGCCATGTTTTAGATTTACTGAGCAAGAGCTTGGAATTTGGAGTCAGGCTGCTCTCTAAATGTCAACATCATCTGTAGGAATCATCCTTGTCATAGCCCAAGAGCGAACAGCAAGGCTGACAAAGCATAAAGAATTCCTTCTGCTGAAATCTTAAGACGGAACATAATTAAGATAGCAGAGTGAGAACTCTCTATATGATTCTAAATGTGCCTTTCTTGATTGCACAGAATTTTTTTCCTGGAGCAAAGCCGTCACTGCATTTCTCAGGAAACCTCTTCAATTTACTTCTGGCCAATCAGCCTGCATGGACCTGGGCCTCTGGGCTTTTATTCATGACCTTCAGCTCCGGAGCATAATGGTACTCATTTGAGGAAGAGGAAACCGAGTCTCCATCCTGACTGTGTTGTTATAAATATCGTCCCTAGCTTGGACACACTGTAATTATTTCATTAGCACTGTGTGTTGGGATTGGGCATTAAGGGTGAGAAAAGGGAAAACATTTCTTACAGTTGTATGTAATTTGGGACCAGCATGATTCCTCAGAGCAGTCTTTCAGCATCATGCAAACTGTATCCATGGCAACAAAACAGCCATGAGTTGTACACAGTCTGTCTTCAGGGACAGACAGAAGATAGCATCCCTCAGTAGGTTCTATCCTTGTTCCTACAGGAACTAAATTTCAAATGATTTTATATATATATATATATATATATATATATATATATATATATATATATGTGTGTGTGTGTGTGTGTGTGTGTGTGTGTGTACACATTTGGGTTTTTTTTGAGACAGGGTTTCTTTGCATAGTTTTGGTGCCTGTCCTGGATCTCGCTCTGTAGCCCAGTCTGGCCTCAAATTCACAGAGATCTGCCTGCTGCTGCCTCCTGAGTGCTGGGATTAAAGGTCTGTGATATCACTACCCAGCTAGTTCAAATGATTCTTGACCTACACTTTTATTAAAGTCCCATATGCAAACAATGCAAAAAAAAAAGAGTCTTTGAAATTCTGATCTCATGTATAGAAGGAATACTGCCATTCCCTGATTCAGCAGATATTCGAGGGTAAAATTTGGACAGTCAGTGCTGGCATAAAGAACATATAAATATTCCTGGCATGTTTAATATTGACTGTCAATTTGACAGCCTCCAAAATCATCTTAGAGAAAAATCTCTGGGTATGTCTGTGGGGGAATTTCTAGACTGGGTTAACTGAGATGGGAAAACCCTTCAAAAAATGTGACCAATACAACTCTATTGTGATATATGGAAAGAGAATTCTAATGCCTTTTCCCTGGCTCTCTCACCATCCTTTACACAATGCTTCTACCCCATTCTGCCTTCTTCCAGAATCCCATTTCTATTTTCCTTTGAGGTTGGGTAGGCATTCACAATCAAGTTATTAACACATTTCCTTATTGTTGGGTCTATCTCCTTAATAGAATGTAGGAGCCACAAGGGTTCTGCACACCTCTATCACATCCGCTGTGATACCTTGTCTTGGAATGCTGCCCACAGTCGATGCTCAGGAAATGCCTATGTAGTGATGCTTATTGTTATAGAGCATGGTCCTCTGAGCAAAACAGCTACCATTTTCATTGGAGTGCCTGTGCCTGTACCTGCCTGAGCAGGCTTGTTGACTATTGACATTCTCTCAGAGAAGGAGAGGGTAGACAGGATCCTTGGATCATCACCTGAAATTCCAGATGCTCCTCCAAGCCATATGTAATGCCATTTTGCCCTAATTGCATGTGGCCTAGTGGTCTCAGGAGGTACTAGACAAACATAATCTTGGGAGGGCTAAAGGAAGGGTTTCCATCTATGTGACTATGAGGAAGCCACCATCTAGCTGGGTATGAACTTCCCAGTGCAGCTGCTTTAGGGTCACCTACACTCCTGCCAGTAACTCCTCATCCATGCTCATATGTAAGGGCAATGATGTCAGTGGTTCCTCAGGGTGAACTCTGGTGGAATCATATATTGGTCTGTTGTCAGGACTTTATGTGGGGCTGTTTTGTACATCTCACCGGGGAAGAAATTCTTGCAACACTTATCTGGTGCATCAGCTGCACCAGAGACTTGGAGCACAGGGACAGAAGCTGAACACTTGTGAGAAATAGCAGTCCCTTGCTCTAGTGGGTGGGGTAACAAAAGCACAACCCCAAATCAGCTTAATTCTAACACATATAAATAGCTCTGTATGGAAATATCCATCTGAGCAGGTGCAGCGAGGGAGAGCACTCCTCAGTGGCAGGCAAAGTCATCACATACTCAGAAATTATTAAAGTTAGGGGTTTCCCATTCCCATCTCCAACACAGTAAGATGTTGTGTTGAAATCTACTGTGACCTTAGAAACCTGGACAGAAAATGGTCAAAATAAGACTGTCTACTATAAGGAACAATTACAGTGCCACAACTCTAAGTTCACTTTAGACAGGTTGAACCAATCTCTACTGAAATAAAAAGGAAGCTTTTCAAAATTTTACTGACACTACCACCTTTCAAGACCTGGTCCTGCCTGTATGCAGTTAGCAGGGAATGGATATGGAATTTATTAGAACTGCATGACGCAGATGACAGACCAGCAGTGGACCAATTGACCAATGTCTTTTTTTTGTTTTTTGTTTGTTTTGTTTTCCAAAGACAGGGTTTCTCTGTGTAGCTATGGCTGTCCTGGAACTCACTCTATAGACCAGGCTGGACTCAATCTCAGGGATTTGTCTTCCTCTGCCTCCTGAGTGCTGGGATTAAAGGTGTGCGCCACCACCGCCTGGTGACCAATGTTTTTAAATGGAGCTTACAACATGCAAAAGAATGTTAACTACTAGCTAGCAGACAGGCAAGGATACTTACTGACTTTGCAAAACTGAAGAAACTCTTGGTCTCTCCAGTTACCATGTTGGATGAACCTGCAAATGAGAGATGCCCAAGTCAAGTAATTGTTCATGAAAATCAAGATATCTTCTTATGGAAGAAGAGTGCAGGTGTTTCATCTGTGCACAAGTGGCAAAAGCTTACAAACAACACGCTTCAGTCTTGGAAGAAGTACAGGTGTTGGGGTGGGGCACAAAGTGGAACATTTGGCTAGTCATCAACTCTTAGAGGAAGGTGGGTGTATCATGGTGGCTCTTTCATTCCTTTGGACAACCAGGCATGTAGCCATAGGTGATTGATTAGTCCAATGTTTTAATAATAAAACATTTTGGTCCTGTTTCTTAAAAATAAGAAGTGACCTTCTATAGGAAGGCACTACATAGACCCAAATTTGATTCTCAGCAAGTGAGGGGCTTAGGACTCTGACATGGGCTGGGTACTAAAGGGTAGAAGAGAAACTTAGATGGATACAAACAACGAAATACAGAAAAGATAGAGGAGAGAACAGTAATTTCAGAGGTTTGGGGAATGTGTGACTATTTGTCACTTCTAAAGGGGGCCAGGCAGAGAGGTTAAAAAACAGAACAAAACCTAAAACTCTAGATAAAACAATATTGGAAACTGTGTGTTGGCAGCTGGACCAAGTGACACTCAGATGCCAGCTGGAGGTGAGGTGAGATGCTCAGAGAGAGATGACCCCTTTGCAGGGTTCCCAATGCGGATGGGGTGGGATAAAGAAGAAACCCTCAACAGTATAGAGGCCATCCTGATGCAATGGCCCGTCTCCACAGACTTTCCTGCTTCTCATCAGATATCTGGAAGTGTAATTTTTGTTAGAGAACAGTCATTTACTTAAAAAATTCCATATTTTAAAATTAACCATTTAGTCTGGCTAAACTATTTCCCAATCAGTTAACCATCCCTTTATCTTTGACGGGATGATGAGTCCCAGGGATCATAACTCTAGGCTTCCATTACATAGTAACCAAGTGATCAATGTAATGACTTGGAAAATTGCGAGATAATCAAGTTGACGTTCACCCAAATGACATTATGGAATTGAGGCAAAAATATAACTCCTGGCTAATGAGAAGGAAGGATGAATAAATTGCCCATCTGCCTTCTATTAGTCACATCCGATGTTCTTATAATGGTATTGACCCTTGTAGGTTTTCTCATCAATAATATTAATCAATTATTTACTTCTTGGGAAATAAGTGGTCAGAATAGAAATGACCAGAATGTATCAGAAAAGGAGTGTTGCTCACCTGCTTGGTGAGCTCAATTCCTTTGTAATAATGATCTGATGATGAGAAGTTATATATAACCCTCAAATATCTCTTTTATAAAGAGAATTGACTTCTTTTTTTCCTTCTGAAATACTCAGAATTAAGGCTCATTTTTTTTTATTTTGAGACAGGATTTCTCTGTGAAGCTTTAGAGCCTGTCCTCTAAACTCACTCTATAGACTAGACTGACCTCAAACTTACAGAGATCTGCCAGCCTCTGCCTCTGGAGTGCAGGGATTAAAGGTGTGCACCACCACCACCACATAGCAAGGCTCCATTTCTATTGCAAGAACAGGGCACAGTGGTTTTAGGAACATCAAACATCAGATACTCCGATATTCTGCTTTGGAAGATGGCCTCTGGCTTTCTATACACTTTTTTGAATTTGTGGAGACCACTGTTTATATTAGTGTGTGTGTGTGTATGTGTGTGTGTGTGTGTGTGTGTGTGTGTGTGTGTGTGTTTGTGTGTGTGTGTGTGTGTATGATGACAAGAAGGTCAGACACTAAAGTTTCATTTTGCTGGAGAAAATTTGCTTCTAATTTTCAAAACTTTTCTATACTCTCAAGAGCATAGTAGATGTGGCCAGGCATGGGGGCTCACACTCCTATCACTGAAGAGGCTGAGGCAATGGGATTATGAGTGCAAGGTCAGCCAGGGTTATATAGTGAGACTGTGTTTCAAACAAAACAAAACATTTAAAGCATGACAGTGAAGGAGATACGGCAGTAGGCAAATAAGTTAGTTTTATAATTTATGACAACAGTATCAGCATAATAAATGCACTGAAAAAACAAACAAACAAACTAGACACTCCCAAGCTTGCCCATTACCCAGGATACTAACACCTTTCACCTTGCAGAATGCGGTAAGCATAGTGGGGTGCTTCCTGTTGTTGTTGGTTTGAGCCCACTGTGCATGCACTCACCATATAAAATGTAGGTCCCCAGAGGTTTGAGGAGACTGAGCCCCTTGCCAGTGTTGTCCCCACACAGGCAGTCCAAAACAATGTCCACACCTTCAGCAGAGATCCTGCACAGAAGGAGACAAAGCAAAATGATACCCCTGTCAGGAACCAAACTCTTGAGTCTTTCCTTTCCCCATCACATCATTTGGTGTCCCGAAAACAAAGAGTGATCACTCTAGGACCATCCATCTAACTACTGTCATCCTTGACCTACTGCAGATGCCGGTGATAAGTCCCCTCTAAGCTAAAAATATCTCAAGTCAAATTTTGTTGAATTCATCTAACCTAATACATCTAATAATTCATCTAACATGGCATAGCCAAGTGGTGCAGTGCACTGTGGCATGCCAATGGTTTACCCCATGTTTGCATGGCTGTCTTGGCTCTGTCCCCACCCCTGGCATCACAGGAGAATATTATAAGACACATTGGTAGCCCAGGAAGAATTCAAAATTAGTGTCTGAAATATAATGTCTATGAATGCCAAATGCTTTAAAAAAAAAAAGTCCTGGACCAAACCACTGTGAGTCAGGCACTGTCTGTACATGTATTTCACAAAGTTTGAGGCAGCAAAATACCTCTCCCAAGAATAAGTCTGGGGTAGAACAATGAAGAGGAAAACTGGAGTCAGAAGGTCTGAGCTTTTCTATCTAGATGCTCACTCAAATTCTCCAAGCCTTAGCTCTCTCCTTTGTAATGTAGAGTAAATGTGTTTCTTTGTGGGAGGATGCGATGAGAAAACAAATGAGGTATTTGGCTCAGGCTTCCCACAGTCCAGTCAGTCAGTCTCTCAGCCAACAATCATTTTTTAAAGGAATATGGCCAACGTGTCTGTGCTGTCCAAGGTACTGAAGTGAGTCAGAAAACCAACATATTCCCTGAGTCTATGTGGCTGCTAGTCTGGCCTGGAGGTCACAGCTTTTTGTAATCCTTTATTTAGGTTACCGCCCCCCCAACTCCCCCATCCAACCCCTAGGATTCTCCCTCATTGTATTCATATCACTTATAGTCTACTATTCCTTCTCCTTTAAGCCCCCACTCCAATGGCTCCTTTCTACTTTGCTGGATTCTCCATACAGTCCAAGTTAAACACACAATCTAAAGATTTGATGCTAGAGTCCACACATGGAAGGACATGGCATTCTTGCCTATGTTACCTCACTCAGTCTGTTTTATTTCCAGTTTTGTCCATTTACTTATTCATTTTAGAATTCCCTTTTCAAAAACAAGATAGAGATACACAAAAAAGAAAGTCATGAACTAATCTTCCCAAATGAAAATGACCACAGTAAAATGCTTGCAAACCAATCCATAAACACATCAAAGAGATCATGCATCATGACCAAGTTGGCTTTACCCCAGAAATGCAGGAATGGTTCAACACACAAATAAATAAGTGAAATAATCTTCCCTCACAAAAGGAAGAAGGTTAGCCAACTCCTTGCCTGAGGTTCTAGCTGCTCCCTTCCTCCTGAGATGTTGTCTTTGGAGTGCTACAGTATTTAGGAGACTGAACAGTGACTGGGGTGGGAACTCCAGAGATTCAAATTTTATGATTTGTCATGTATGCCGGGGTGGGCTTTTTTGGTGATATGGCTACCTGAATAAGTTACCATGTTTTGGAAGTAATGACTTACCAAGGTGCCTGTAAGTAACCCCCCTCCCAAACTGCTGATTCACCAAGCCAGACATGGGTAGGATTTGGTCCTTTGGTATTTCATGTTTTGGTGAATGAGCATTCCTATACATTGCTCCTGTTGAGGGTAGAGACATTCCTTCAGTGAATAATTTATTAAAGACTACCACCATCTCACCCTATCATTAGGATGAACAAATGAATGCTATTGAATGGAACCTACTCAAACCAAATTGGGCTTAGGTCTAGTGAAAGTGTTTCAGGTTCAGAGCTAGAGATTTGACTCAGATGGTAGAACACTTGCCTAGCATGCATAAAACCTTGGGTTTAATCCTTATCACCACCTAAAACAGGTGTGGTGGCACACTCCCTTAGTTCCAGCAGAAGAGATGTGGAGGCAAGAGGATCAGAAGTTCAAGGCCATCCATGACTGTGTAGTAAGTTTGCAGATAGCTATGGTTTACATGAGACTATTAAAAATTATCCAGATGCATTTTTAGAATTGGCTTGGCTATTGTCATGCTCCTCAGCTGTCCTTTTCATGACATCATTAGGACCATTACCGGAAGAGCCAGTCAGCTCTGAAAGGCCCAAGGCCCAGCCTCATTGCCAATGTCCTCACTTCTAGGGGTGTCATACTGTCTGTGTATACATAACTATGCAGCAGCAGAGATGGGTCAAGGGCCAAGGATATGGTTTCTCTATGTGTTTGCTGTTGCCATCACAAATCTCCATGAATTTAAGATACCAGCAACCCCAGCTCAGGGACTCTGGGTCAACTCAGCAGCAAGACATTTTAGAACTGCTGACCCAAGATCACACAGTTCATTTTTCTTTTGTCCCCAGTCCTGGTCCCTCTGCGGGGAATTCTGCCTCTTTGATTTCCATCCACATGGATAAGGGAAGCATTTCTCTGGATGGGATGAGGTTCCCTGAGAGCCATTATTAGTGTAGAAAGCCTTCAGCCTAGCCAGGAAGTGCATCCTTTCTCATTGTTTCCTTGGTTCTCTTCTGAGCTTTCTTTTTCTAGATTCCCTTGACCTGAGAACTTGCCTGTGCCATAACTTCCAGTATGGTTGTTGCAAAGTAGGTTTCTCACAGAAGGGCTGGTCCATAGTGGGCTTGTCCCAGAGACTGGGCACACTGTCCAGCATCCAGTAGACTTCCTATAGAGTGTTGGGCACAGTGCTCAGTATCCATAGACTTCCTATAGAGTGTTGGGCACAGTGCCCAGTATCCATAGACTTCCTATAGAGTGTTGGGCACAGTGCCTGGGGAATAGCAACTTCTAGAGGGCTAGCCATAGTGCCAGGTGCACATTAGGCTTCTTAAAATTGCTGAGCATGGTGACCAACACACAGCAGGCTTCTTACAAAGTTCTAGGCATGGTATCCGGTACACATCAAGCAAGATTCTCACAGTAGGCTTCTCTAAGTGTGCTAAGCATAAGTGCTGATGCATAGTAGGCTTCTCAGGAAATGTTCACTTACTGGTAGTAAATTACTAAATGTAATTAGTAATATCCCTTCTAGAAGTCACCTCTGGACCGACATCCCTATTCTCTCCCAGCAATTTGATTCTCAATAATTTCCACCAGTAGTTGAGTAAGCACCTACTATGGGCCAGGCACATTTCTAGGCACTAAGGTTACTGAAGACAAGATGGACAATCTTTTTTCTGAGCTCATACTTCCTGGCTTTACCCTTACCCTGGGTCTACAGACTCAAGTTACATGAGCAAGCAGCAGCCCTCCAATGAGAGCTGGGTTCCTTCCTCTGGGTTTGGTGCTCCTTAGTCTGGCTTTTGCTCAGCTTTGCTCTCCAGGTTCTAGAGCCAGCTCTCAGTGGTCACTCAGCAAGTGGTTGCAACCCAGGTCTACTCCCTGTAATCTCTGGGGCTTCACAGTCATGCTAGAAGATAACCCAACAGCTCTCAAGGCCACAACAGCTCAAGTAGATGTTTTCTTTTCTCTTGTGTTCTTCTCCATTGTCACTGGTCACTAAGTCTATTTTTCTCCTATTTGCACAGGCATGGGTGAAGGCCATAGGTTAATCTAGGGTATCACTCCTCTGACCCTGTCCACTTTGATTTGGAGAAAGGGGGAGCTCCTCACTGGCCTGGAGCTTGCCAAACAGGCTAGGTTGATTGGCTAATGAGCTCTAGGAATCCTGTTTCCATCTCTGCAGCAATGGGGTTGTAAGCATGTGCCATCCTGTCCAGCTTCTTAGTGTGTGTTCTGGGGATCAAACTCAGACGTCCATGTTCATGCAGACAAGCCCTTTATGGACTGAGCTACCTCCTCAGTTTCTGTTCTTTTCCTTTGACTCTGCCTGTTCCTGGACTCTGAATCCCATTTCCCACTTATCTTGCACATTATGGCCAGACTGTCTCATAGACTCATCTCACATAATAGCTCTTACCTGCCTTGAATCTGCAAAGGATTCCAGATTTTCAATATAATCCAATTTTAACTCCATCTAAGGGCTTTCCAGGATTTTATCTATATAGCTGAGAAGGTATGTTTAAAATTTTTATGTTTTCAAATTGGAGAGATGGTTTGGTGGGTAAAGGTACCAATCATCAAGCCTGACAACCTGAATTTGAGCTCAGAGAGTCACATGGTGGAAGGAGAGAACGGACTTCCTCCACGGTTGTCCAAATAAATAAATAAATAAATAAATAAATAAATAAATAAATAAATAAATAAATAAATAAATAAATGTGTGACATTTTTTTCCAATAACTTTATTTATGAGTCACAGTGTGATATTTTCACACATGCACGCAAATCAGAATGAGCAAAGAAATCTGGGTAATTAGCATGTCCATCATCTCAGTCATTACTCATTCCAAGGTTGCTTAATTGGGAGCTGTTTGCTCACAGCCCCCCATGGGTGATATCCAGGGATGTTTCACATTGTCATGACTTGGGGGATGTGGCAGGTAGCTGCTAACTATATCTAATAAGTTCCATTGCTCTGGATGGCCTCCAGCCACAGAACAACTTCAAGTGTACACAGTGCTGAGATTGACAAGCCCTGATCTAGCCTGTTCCTGCCATTCAGCATCTCACACAGCCACAGCCTTCAAGTTGGATGGCTTGGTTCCCTCATTGACCCAGGGGTGAGCCACCCCTACTCCCTTAGGGAGAATGGCATAGATGATAGAAAGTTTGAACTCTGGAAGTAGGCTGTGTGGCGAGTCCCCCTGCGTGTAGGTGTGTAAACACTATTTAAACCTTCTGTACCTTGGCTTCTCCCTAAAGAAATAACGACAGTGTCCACATCATCAAATTTGCAAAGGGACAAAACTGAGCTCCCATATGTGCTTTGGGCTTTTGGTCAGATATCACTTCCATGTGTTCCCAAATGTCCTGGCTGTCTCTACTTGGTGCTGATGCAATTACTTACTACATTAACTGTGACTAGTAGTTTGGACATTTCAGGACACAGTGATATATGTGCCTTGGTCACCATTGTGTTTGCATAACATTTTTTAAGTCATCAATAAAAACGTAATAAAACATGAATGCATGAACATAAGGTCTTAAATGATATTGTGCACCATTTCCACCAAGTGTTTGATTTTAAAGGCACCCTTAAGCAGCTTTATTGAGCTATAATTGACGACAATACATAGGACAGATTTCAAATGTGCAGTGCATAGTTCAATGAGTTGTGGCAGTCCACATCAGTGAAAGCAAAGTCCACACCAGTGATGAAATTATTCAAGGTGATGGATGCATTCTTCTAGCTCAAATGTTTCTTTGGGTCATCTTGTAAACCATAATGAGCTGGGGAAAACTGAGCCCACACATTTGGAGGGTAAATCTGGAACTAAGCTTCAGCTTTCTCATCTGTGAAGTGGGGTGATTTTTGCATTTGTACAAGGTGCTTGTGAGATGGTTGTCTAAGAGAGCAGAGGTTGACTGAGCATGGCTGTTCTTACCTGCCTTGCCCTGTCCCAGTTCCTTCCTGCATCTCCTGCTGCTGGAGTACTTTGCACCCTTACAGGGGGCCATTGGGCCCCTGTGTTGCCCTTCTCTCTGAATTTTCCCTCTCCTTTTTATTTCTGAAGGCCTATGATTCAGATGCACAGGACTCAAGGTTTCTAACTGTTTGGTCCATTTCCCACCCATTGTCATCTCCCTTTTCACACAGATAAGAACACCAATGCAAATATAAAGTCTACATCAGAGTTGTCTTTTTTTTCCCCAGGCTTGGGAGATGGCTCAGCTGTTAAAGTTCATGCCTCACAAGCATGGTGAGCTGAGTTAGGTTCCCCAGAACCCATACAAAAATGCTGGGTGTAGTAAACAAGCTGGTAATCCCAGTATTTGGGACACAGAGCCAGGAGGATGCCTGGGGCTTACTGGCTAGCCAGTCTAACCACGGTGAGCTCCAGACCAATGATAGATCCAGCCTCAAAGATGGGTGTCAATATTCCTGAAGACTGTCCTCTGACCTCTACACACAAGTACATATACATGTGTGATCACACCTGCACATACAAAAACATGTATAGGGACATACATGCAAATATACAACACATGCATTACAAATTTTTTTTTCTCTAATTTCTTTCCTGGCTTAACATGAATTCCAAAAAGGCTCTCCAATTGGATAGTATATATGAATTTTTAATCACAAGAAATTTTCTTTATTGTATCTTTGTAGTTCACTGTACATAGATTACTGTAACCATGTCTATAAGGAAAACACCAAAAAAGAGATGACTGTACAGTGCTTTACTACACGTGTGTGACTGAAACCCTTTCATTTTACATCCCCATGCACAGAGAATTTGAATCAAGTTGTGATCACAGTGTTGCTGGAACTTGGCATTCTGTTTTCCTCCCTTAAATTCTACCACAGGCATCTTTTCTGCGACACAACCTTCACAATAGTCGTTTCCAGGGGCTGCATAACACACGCATGTGGCATACCAAAATCCCTGCAGTGTTTGCCTTCTGCTGACAGCGGAGACTGGATCTGATTGCCACTGTTACAGACAGGCCTATTATAACTCACTGTCGACATATGTTGAGCGCTGACGACCATGCAGAAGCAGAGCTCAGCTTAGCAGCTTTGTGCCTTTGGCTTTGAGCTTGCTCTGGACAATTTCCCGAGGGTAGGGTTCTGTTCGCAGTCACAGCTCCCGAGCCATTTCCCACATCTATGGGTCTCTGCTTAAAGTGAGCTGTTGGAAGCCACCTCTCTAAAGGCACGTGGTAATGCGAAGGGCCCAAGATGCTCTTTCCTTCTACTTTTCTCGTAGTAGAAAACATTGATTCTGGCTCCGAGTGGGGCCAGGGTAGGGTGGGGCTGAGGAGATGGAGCAGCTGTGTGGGAAGTGGGGCAGGCAGGAGGCCCCTGGCTATCAACTTCCATTTGTTGAGAACAGCTGTGGTGTCCTGATTTTCTGTTCTTACTGCTCTCCAGAACCAGCCACATTTGCTTCCTGTCAGAACCCAGGGTTTCCACAGCACCTCAGCAATGCTGTTCCCCCTAATCCAAAATGCTTGTCTCTCCACAATTCATCTTTCAACTCTCAGCCAAAACTCTTCCTCAAATCATTGTCATGTCTGAGATACCCACTAGCAACCTGCATTTCTCCACCAGAGTGTATGTGGAAAGTCCAAACCAATGTATTCTTTGAATAGTTTCTTTTTTTCCCCTGTCTCCTCTCTGACAACTAGACTCCAAACTCCATAAGTACAGAGCCTTTCTGATTGGTTGTTGGTGACTCTTCCTCTTTGGCACAGGTCCAGTCTCATCTTAGACCCCCAACATGTATTTATTAAGCACTAGGTAGATGAGTGCAAAAATATCAGTTAAGCAGGTTAAAGAAAAGATTATTAAAAGGGAACAATGAAGTTCATATTTCAGACCACAGCTTGTGAAACTCAAGTTAAAAGTAGGTGAACTGGGCAAATAGAAGTCTCTAAAATTACCTGTAATGTCTGCATCTCTCAGAAATGGGATGGACTTCTAATATTTAGCTTCAGATATAAGCTCCCCTTTTATGTCTTACTGGGAATATTGGGACATGTTTACCTTATATATAATTCAATCACTCTGTACATTAAGTTTTAGACAGGTTCTTTCAATGTAACCCTGGCTAGACTGGAACTCACTCTGTAGACCAGGCTAGCCTTGAACTCACAGAGCTGGTTTCTGCCTTCCAAGTTCTGACACTGAAGATAACGCACCTCCATGCCTAACTTTACCTTAGGTTTTGAGACTGGGTCTCTCATTAAACCTTGAACTATATTTGGCTAGACTGGCTGGCCAAAGCTCCAGGGATCCTCCAGTCTCTGCCTCCCTGGTGTTGGGATTACACATATGTGCTACTGTTCCTGGCTCTTTTACATAAGTTTGGGGAACTAAACTCAGGACCTCTGGAAGAGCAGCCTGTGCTCTAACCTCTGAGCCACCTCTCCAGCCCCCTTGAATTCAGGTTCTTCCACTTGCATAGCAAGCACTTCAATGAATGAGCCCCAGCCCAACAAATTTTAAAAATCCACCTGTCAGAAAAACTTCCTTCTAAAAGAATGCCCCACTGAATAAAACCCAATCTTGTCCAAATTTCTGCATGAACAACCAGATTTGTCCCTTTTTTATCTCAATTTGAGGCTTACAAAAAATGTTCCATTAGCGCGGTGCTGGGTGGGTGACTAGTTTAGTCATTTAGGCTTTATAATTTAATGCAGACTATGAAAAGAGAAAAATAACAGCTCCTGGCCACCACTGACTCCTCTAGCAGCTCTCAGCTGAAAATGCTGAGACTGAGTTCATCCTGGGCAGCAGCCAAGTGAGACACATATATCATCTACAGCTGTGCTACCACCTGGGGTCTCCATGGGATTCCCCATGTGGACACACATAGCCATGATCAATAGCTTTGGATCATAGGTAAACTGTAATTAGATTATATAGTCAGACATCCCTGAACTTACACCCTGTTGAAGTTTTATTGCTATTTTCCTGACCTTTGAGCCTTTGAACTCAGTTGCTCAGTATGCAGGCAGCCACTCCGATCTCTACAACATCCTCTTCCAGGCTCTCTTCTTCCTATAGGTATCTATGGCTCATGCTCTGCTCTTTAGAAAGTCACCTTCTCTATAGTAAAAGCATGGGTTCACAAGCCAGAGAGCCTGGTATGAACTAAGGCTCTGCTGTCCACCATTTCATGAAGGCCGGGTCTGCCTGCTTGTATAACTAGGTGATGGTTTCAGTCTGCTCTCAGGGAAGTGTGGCCAGGGACTTGAATAGTAGCTTCATATTTGGGCAGGATACATATATTCATCTCAGGACTGACCAGTAAAAACCTCCCATGCATGGTCTATTACTATTTTCCCATTTTCTAGATAGAATCAAAAGAACAGAAGACTCAGGATGATGATCAATGAAAATATAACGAGCCTGGGTACTAGAATCTCCTTACAGATGAACATCTTCCTTGAGCTTTTTATGTGAATGAATGAGAATTAGATTTGCATGTGTTAAGATAGTGTAGTGGTACCCATGGCTGATATGTAGAACTGAATGGTATTGTAAAATAAAAAATATATATCACAAAAAAAAAAAAAAAAAAAAAAAAAGATAGTGTAGTGGCTGTTGTGGGAATTCATTCCACCAATAGCTTTGGGGAACAAGCCTTGGGCCATGGCTTCTTGTCTGCGTACATGACCACTTAAGGGGTGTGTGTATCGCTTACTCTCTTGGGGTGAGGAGAGTGGGTCAGGCATTGGAAAGTGGCTTTCAATTGGTCCCCCATCTGACTTGAGGAGAACAGAAGCTGGATTAGCAGCACATTTCTCTTGCTTTGTATTAGTGAGTCTGTTTCCCCATCACACCTTTTAATAAATTGATTATATTTATTTATATATTTATTTATACACATCTGTGGGCTCTCATATCAAGTGCAGTTAGCATAACACCAACACATTAATTCTGCAAGTTTTAGGACTGCCTCCTTCTTTGGGGATAATAACAGGGAGGTTGAGAGTATCTGATGGGCTGACACATGTGAAGTGTCAAGCTCAGAGCTAGAATTAAGCTTCCAATATATGTTTATTATCACCATTATCATTAGTGTCCTTTAAAAATTTACTTTTATTTTATGTGTGTGAGTGTATTGTCTGTGTAGCATGTGAGTGCAGTGCCCAATAAAGAAGGAAGAGCTCATCAGATCCCTGAGATAGAGTTATAGACAGTTGTGAGTTTCCATGAGGTGCTGGAAACTGAATGGCGGTCTTCTGCAAGAGCAGTCAATGCCCCTAAATCACCATCTTTCTAGCACCACAATTAGCCATCTTCTAAATGAATACTAATGATCTTCAAACAAAGAGCAGGGGCCAGCCTGATGATCTGCAGAGCCACCCCCTTACCTTTTTACTTCTTGCACGTAGTCGGCATTTCTGTCAAAGAGGTGGGTCACAGAATCTTTGATGGCTTCATGCTTGAAAGTAGAAGCTGTTCCAAAGACGGTCACGTTGGGCACAGTAGAACATAGCTGAGCCACAGCTTGACCCTGGAAGTGACACACAGTAATCGCATGAACACCACCATTCTCAGAGAGGTGTGGCATAACATGGGTCAAGAGCATGGCACAAAATATGACACTTGCAGACACTTAATAAATCTCAACTATCTAACAGCCAGTACTGCTGGACAGAAGGCAGAATTTTTCATCTTTGACATAGTTGACATTTTCGAGTTTGAATTCATGTTTTTCAGATAAGACTGCAGGGGATTTATCAGCATCCTTGGCCTCTACTCTCTTGAGGTAATGAACATCTCCAGCTCAACGGTGACAGCCAAATGCATTGCAGCGTTGTCTCCTGAAGGACAAAACCTGCCTTGGCTGGAAACCACTTGTGTGGGGGCAAAGTCAACAGGAGCCAGATAACCCCAGCACTAAAGTTAACTACTATTTAACCAGGCTGAGCTACATCTCAGCAGTCACGCTATCTACTCCACAGGAATCTTGGAGGATGTCTCATTTTCACTCTTAGAAGCAGATTCTGAGCAAACACTTGAATATAAATGTTTTATTTGTAAGATAATCTTAGAAACTAACAGGGTTAATACCCCAAAAGGGAGCCCACAAGATGGTACATCATTTAATTGCAAGCCTTACAAGACCAAGGACCCGAGTTTGATCCCCAGAATTTAAATTCAGAAAAAAAGGAGGAGAAAAGAAAGAAAAACAGAAAGTTGGGCATGGTAGAGCATGCTTGTAACCTCGGTGCTGGGGAGGTAGAGTCAGGAGGCTTCCTAGGGCTTGATGGACAGCCATCCTCGCTGTCCAGCTGAACATGTTTCAGGCCAAGGAGAGACCCTTTCTCAAAAGAAATGTGGTTGGTAAACTGAAGAACAACATGTGGTATTGTCCTCAGGAATCCCTGTAAAGAACACCTGTGCACATGCACCTATATACATATATGAGCATGAACATGCATACATCCCCCTTACACACAAAAAGACCCAGAAGAACCCAGATGACTTAATCCAATGGTTTAGTTCAAAAACATGTGGCACTTCAGAGAAACAAAATCCCCCAAAGAAAGAGCTGACCGCTCATGTATTATCAAATTCATATCTATCATGGACATCCAGAGTTCAGCCTGACATCTCCATGATCAAGAGTCTACCCAACTAATTTCCATCTAATACTGGTGGACCACTGCTTATGTTTAAGTATCTCTTGACACATCTGGTGTGTCTTCATGAGTCAAATATGCTCCCTGGTTAGACCGAAGCCCACAGACAGCAAGCTTCAGCATGTTGTGTGGGGCAGATATGCATGGCTGATTGCCAGTGTCCCATAGGGAAGGGCTAAATGAGGTATTATACCAGACTGAGGACCTGGGACAAATTGTGAGTCTGACTAGATACTCAATCTTAATCATCTCTCCCCCTTGGGGGCTTATTATATCCAAGGCTAAAGATGTCCAGTCAAATAAAGAAAAGGTCAACATGTGGTTTAAATGGTAAATGGTCTAGGGGGGAATTACAAATGCAGTTAAGAGGTGGGTGATTTATATCTCCTCTACCAATATGGTCAACATTAAAGACATTGAACAAAATTATGTGGGCATGTGCATCTCAAAACTTTCCAGTAAAACCCAATTTCCTGGTAATTAAGATGCATTAAAAGAAACCGCCATCACTCTCAAGCATCCTATTTACCATTTTAAGGAGGGGATTTTTCTAGAGGCATCTGTCACAGCCATTTCTGCCTATCATCTTATTTTCATGTCTTCATGTTGGTGGATAATTCAAGTTGGCAGGTCAGTTTATGGAAATGGTATCTTATCACCAATCCTAATTAAAGGCAAGATGGAGAGATTCATAGAATGTCAGAGCTGGAAGAGCACCACATTAGAGATGAGGTAAAGGACCATAGAAAGGTCCAGGTCTCTCAGCTTTTCAGAGGCATAGCTGGTACTCAAACCAAGGCTTCTTGACTCCTGTTATTTCCATTTTCAACTTTTCTATTCTGTCAACTTATTTTGACATTTTAAGCTAAGCAATTGTAGCTTGCTGCCTAAAATAGACATGACAATTTCACTGGGAGGTCAATATTTCAGAACAGGGACATAAGCCTAAGACTCTACACAGGGCACAGTTCTCTATGCTAAGAATAGTATTGGTATTTATTTAATGTTTTGTCCCAGATTTCATAGGACAAAGAGGGGGTCTGTCTTCTTTTTTTTTTTTTTTTTTTTTTTTTTTTTTTTTAGACAGGGTTTCTCTGTGTAGCTTTGCGCCTTTCCTGGAGCTCACTTGGTAGCCCAGGCTGGCCTCGAACTCACAGAGATCCGCCTGGCTCTGCCTCCCGAGTGCTGGGATTAAAGGCGTGCGCCACCAACGCCCGGCGGGGTCTGTCTTCTAAATGAGCATAAATATCCCTAGCCAATGCAGCGACTCCTTTAAATTCACTGACCTCATGTCAGCCTTGGTTACATCTCTGAAGTCATATGGCTTGAACAGACCCTGGTAGCGATGGAAGAGGTTAGAATTAACTTTAACATCCATGTAGCCCCTTCTTCCTTCTGTGTTTGGGCAAATGTGACATTTATTCATTCAACTATTTCCCAAATCCCCAGTGTTTAGTTCAATGCTATCGACATATGTCTCCATCTGATGGATTCCCTCAAACAATATATCAGATTCGTCTGACCCAAAACACAACTCATGACCACCATGAAAATGATGAAAATGGACTGATCTTTAAATCAGTGTGTGAAGGATGCTGCAACAGTGGCATGACATGCTGGATGACTTTCTATGAGAGAAACTTCTTTTCTTGAAGTTTGGAACTGGTCCCAAATCTTGGGTTAGGGACCATTTGCAAGGATCTCCCTTTAGTTTGATTGCTACTTCTGTAAAAATCCTGTTACAATTTAAATTTAAAAATTTGCTAAAGGTGTGTGTGTGTGTGTGTGTGTGTGTGTGTGTGTGTGTGTGTGTGTGTGTGTTCAGGGCTTATTTCCCAGTCTGCAGCATGGCTGAGAGGTGGTAACACCTTGAGGTTGGAGCTTACTGGGAGTTTTCATGTTGTTGTCAGTAGTGGTGGCCTTTGATGGGGATGTTGGGACTCTGGACTTTCCTCTCTCTCTTTTGCTTCATGACTGATATGGTGTGAGTAGCTTTGTTCTACCATGTGCTCCCACCATGATGATATTGTAGCTTAACACAGACCTAAAATGGCAGAATCATTACAACATGAGGGGACTGTGGTTGCACATGAGATCTGTTGTTGACTGAAATCAACATATAGGCATGACTCCAAATTGTATCCTGTAACATGAGTATTATATAAGGAATAATATATGCATATAACATATTGCATGACACTATATAATTATCACATTGTATAATTACATATTGATGTTAAATATATTTATATAGTTAGTGTTATATACATAAACACATACATATATAATTAATACATAATATAGAACATTTAGGTGCTAGAGAGATGGTTCAGCAGTTAAAAGTGTGTACTGGCTTCCTCTTCTTGCCTCCTTGGGCACCCTCATGCATATGCATCGACAGACAGACAGACAGAAAGACTTAAGATCAATCTTAAAAACTTAAAAATGAACACTTAATTAGCAATAGATAATTAGTATTCTTTTAATAATATCTGTATACGATGTAAGTATGATGTATGATATTATTATAGTATAATACAATATTATCATATATATTATGTAAGTAACAATGGTTAGAAAGCACAAATTCAACTGTTTGTCGCTTTTAGCATCCCATCAACCCACTGAGATGATGAAAGACCCTCTATGATCTCAATGATTTTTTTTTAAAGTAAATACCATGCTGGGTTCTGTATTTAAGCATTCTCCCTCACAGTTATAGAAAATTTGCTTTCTCTCACTCCCCAGGTAATGCAAAATCAGCAGCCCATTCATTCTTCCTTTCTCTGGCCAGTCAAGGCATTGCAGGGACTCAATAAACACTAGTGGGAGATGGAATGACTTCTCAATAAAAAGGATTTTGCAGTTTACCTGCGGACCCACAGCATAAAATGAACAAGACAATCCATGCTCCTGGCAGCTGCAGTAAATGGAGATATGCATATGCCTGTTTTAATCGACTCTCCTTCCCTCCCAGGGACACAAACATTCTGCTCTAAGCACCCTGCCCTTCTTATGGCGAACAATGCAACAGCAACAGCAGCTGTGCTTCCTTTTATCCCTCCAGGAGCCAGGCACTAAAGGCTTTGTTAAATCCTTAAACCACTCTAAAGCAATTTTTATTTCCCATTTGAGCCTCAAAATGGGCATTCAGAGAGGAACTGGACCTGGCCCAAAGTTATGGGGCCTGTGAATGATACAGCTGTGTGCCCGGACTCTACCCTCACCCATGCTGCTGATCTGTCCAGCTGACCAGGCAGGCTGCTGACCTAGGACCTAACCTTTTAGAGTTGAGTCTTTTGGCATCACAGTGTGATGCTGTCATCTACAGATGTGTTTGACTGCGTTCATAATTATCCTCAGATGCATGCAGCCTGTGGGTCATCAATTAGACACACCTAGTTTAGAGTCTTGGAGATAACTGTAGTCCTTGACCTCAATCTCAAAGGTTTTAACTGGTTTGCTGTGGAGATCTGGGTCTCAGGGTACAAGCATGAACAGGTTTCTAACTCCTTTATCACAAGGTTGCTGGAGCTTCCCACCATATCCTAAAATATAGGGAGCAAGAAATATGGGGATAACTATGAGGAAATGTTTCAGGTCTTCACACCTGAGTAACACAAGGCAAAATCCTACTGTAGAAAAGCCAGGCGCAGTAAACAAATGGTTAGAAGAGCAGGAGGATTAGCCTTTGGCATAATCCATACTGAGTACTGAATAAACAATAATCTTTAGCTATAGTTTTGGAGACGGCAAGAAATCCAGAGGAATTCTGGAAAGTCACTCGATGAGTGTTGAAGACATGATCTTATCAAAGCACTGAGATTCAGGATCGCCATCACAGACTCAACGACATGAGAAAAATGAA